AACAAAACAAATTAGAGAAATATCTACGTACAAACATAAGAGCATGTGCATTAAAATGTACTGATCACTTATAATATAAAACAAATGGAGTATAGACTTGTAAATTCGTCATAGACTCGTGAGTCTATGCGAGTTTGTACGAGCCTACTCGAATTTATAAAAAATGATTATATTCACTTTTTATTCCTATACTTATAATCTCATATGCGTTTAAGAATCTACACGCGACTTTGACAACTATGGTTGGATATAAAATAAAAAGAAATTAAAAAAAATCAAGTTTTGATTATTATCTAATGAAATTTAATCATGTGATCTTATTTTGTATTCAATATTAGGAGCATGATTTTATGAGCACAAGTTGAATATTTTGATATGTTAATTTAAATTGGTTTGATCCTAGAAAATAAAAATTTGATTTTGATTTTGTTTTTTTAATTTGATTTTTTAAAAGTAAAATCAAAATTTTAATTTGATATATAACCTTTAAATTTTATTTTATTTAATTATTAGTTTGATTCTCATTTGAAATAAAAATTGATTCGTACAAACTTTATATTCAAATTTCATTTTAAGAAATAAGGTATATAAAAATCTATTATATATATGGAAGAATGCCTTTGAAATAATAAATAATGATTAATTTAAAATATTGAAATTTATTCATACAAACTTTATGTTCAAATTTTATTTTAAGAAATATATATATATATATATATATATATATATATATATATATATATATATATATATATATATATATATATATATATATATATATATATATATATATATATATATATATATATATATATATATATATATATATATATATATATATATATATATATATATATATATATATATATATATATATATATATAATGACCTAATTTAAAATATTGTGATTCAATTTAATAATTCAAAGAATAATGTTTTAATTCAACAAATTTAGGAAAGTACATATTATAGAAATTATTTATTTATAAATATATAAAGATATATGCCCTATATTTTTGAAAAATGATTCTAAATTATTTGTTTTTGTTTTTGTTTTGCCAAATCATGCTATTTATTCATGTCTCTAAATTGTGTAATATATTTGTTAGAGGTTGAAACATGGATCTCCTGTCAAATTCAATAATTAAGACATATGGGATGTTCCTTAAACTTAAGAATCATTTAATATGCATGTAAATGTCATAAAAACAAGATTTTGAATCAACTTTTACATTGTAATATTTTTTACAAGTTTTATATATGATTCAAAGATTCTTGCTATCAAATAAGATTTTGAATTTTATATGATAAAAATTCATTTAGTTTTAAATATAATAATATTTTGAAGGAAACATATTTTGTAAAATTTTTGATTTTGGGACATTTAAGTTTGAGATGAAATTTTGGAAATATTGTCAACATTACAAAGTCTTGGGAAGTAAGTTTATACATCTAGTATGATGTGTTGATTTTGTTTTATCTAGACAACAATGCATTAGTTAATTAGTGTGTGAAATAAATATGGTCCCCTATATTAGTTGGTTTTATTTTAAAAAAAAATTCTAATAAAAATTTAGTGATGAAAGATCTTTTTTGGGGAGATCTCGTTTGTAGTAGACATTTTAATACTTAGATATTATTTTGAATGTATCACGCAGTTATTACTAAAGAGCTATATCAATAAAGTTGAAAATAAATTTGCCATAAAATATAATAAATTTTAGGATATTTCAATTTTTAAAGGACACTTTTTTCTTTGTTCTGGTACACCAAATAGTTTCACATTCTTTTGAAATTGAGACTAAGGATAAGGATAATTTATATAGAGGATACACGTTTCTCAAATCTATTAAATCGTTTATTAAATAAATTAATAATATTAAACTATATTTTATAAATATAACATATATACTTATATGTTTATAATTTAATAAAATAAATATTTTAAAAATTTATTATAAATTAATACAATAATATTAATAATACATATAATAATATAATATAATTTTACATTTCATTTCAATTATTATTTAACAATAATTTGATCAAATTAAAAAATTATAATAAAATAAGTTAAATTAATTCAAACTAAAATTAAAATAATAAAATATAATATTTCAAATAAAATTTAAAGAATACCTAAATTAAATAAGATAGAATACTAAAAATAAATAATATAGTATACTTCATTAGAAAAATAAGTTGAACTACGGCAACATGTAATTTTTTTTTTTAAGTTTTGACAGTGACATATTAAAAAAAATTAAAAAATTAAAAATATTCAATTTAATGCATTTTATTGAATCGGACTGTTTATAAAATCAATTTGAGTTCTTTAGTTTGAATGATTTTTTACGGTTTAATTTGATTTTTTTATTTTACTTTGATTTTAACTCACTAACAGTTTTAAAAAGTTAACCGAATCAGATTCATCTCTGATTTTTTATCTAACCAATTGAACCGACCAATTTGATGTATTTTTTTAAGCATGGCTTTCGACAACTTGTTAACTCATAATTATAAATAAATATTTACCCTATAGGTTGAACACTGGATGAACCGATTAACCCAAATAGCACATGCAATTTAATCTTTAATTTAAAATTGAAATTGATCTATATAAATTTTATGTTTAAAGTTTATTTTAAAAAATAAAAATTTATAATACATGCCTATGAAAAATTGCCTTTTAAATAAATAGTGGTTCAACGTGGTAACTCAAATAATGATTATTTATTTTTTAATTTAGGAAAATGTATATTTTAAAAATTATTTATTTATATAAACATATAATTTTTTTATTTATAGACACATAAAATTATTTTCTTATGTTTTCGTATAATTTAATGTCTTTTACTTAAAATGAAACAATCGGTTTCCATTTTTTTTCCTATTTTATCGATTCTATTTCTACCTGCTTTTCAAGTTTGGATATTAATATCTTTACAATCAAATCAAAGGAAGTCATAAATACAAAATTTATCTATTTCTCTTTATCAATTTTATTTTTATTTTTATTTTTTTGAAAATTGTCCTTATACAAAATCTCATTGATGGGTAGATTTAATGCAAAGGACTAGTTTTCTCAACACTTAAACACAAGAATCATTATTATTATCATTCCATCTCAAAAACCATAAAGAATCATTATCATTATCATTTGCAATGCGAGGAATGAGAATTTTGGGATCCAGAAAATGTGTCTGTGATCTTGTACTTCCTCTCACAGCTTTCTTGATCTTGCTCATGTTCTTCCTTCAGTATCACAATCTTGGAACAGTTATAACAACTCAAACCAAGGTATAATAATTCTAAGCCTAAACTCTCTTGATTGATTCTCTTTCATTTGATGCATGTATTCAACCAACTATAGGTTTTATCATTTCAAGATTTTAAGCATATTGGTCCCCAAAACTTCAAGCATTGATGCATGTATTTGACTTTTCATTTCCTATCAGTATGATTCAGAAAAACAAGAACTGATTCAAGTGCTGAAGAAAGCAACAATGAAAGACAGAACAGTTATCATAACCATGGTAGATGAATCACATGCAAGACCAGGATCTATGCTTGAAGTTTTTCTACAAAGCTTCGAATACGGCCGAGGGACTCGAAGGTTTTTGAGTCACTTAGTTATCGTAACTATGGACGAACAAGCTTTTCAGTACTGCAGATTATTGCATCCATATTGCATTCATCCCTCCACTTTTCAACCTTACTTTTCCACCAAAAGACGGTCTGTCACAACCGTCACAACGCCGGACCACAGTGTATTATCCAGTTGGAGAAGAAATCATGTTCTGATGCAAGTCATTGAATTGGGCTACAACATAATTTTCACGGTACGGAACGCGTTTAAGGACCAAGATAATGGTCTGTTCATCAACTTAACTTATGTAACTTTTGTTTTGCTGCAGGAAACAGATGTACTCTGGCTTAAAAGTCCATTGGTGAACTTTCATCCGGAGTTAGAGCTCAGCATTTCGTGCAATTTCGTAAGTGATGGAGGAAGAGCGTATTTCGTACAAGAAGGGGGAATCTTTTTCATGAAAGCAAATTCCGTCACCCCGGAATTCTTAAAGCACTGGAAACTGACCAAGGTTTTGTATCCAGACTCAAACCTTGAAGAATCCATGTGTGCAACATTGGATATACATGAAGACCTAGTCGAACACTATGACTTCCGTGTTCATAGAATAGATACAAACCATTTCGGCGGATTTTGTCAGCCGTATAATGATATGTTGGAAGATGCATATACCATTCATGCTAACTGCTGTGATGATCTCCAAAACAAAGTTCATGACCTGAGGATTGTTCTAGATGATTGGCTCCGCTTTAGAAACCGTGTATCAAAGAACAATGCAACGGAAAAAACTGCTTTGAGATGGCCACAGAAGTGCACAGAACATCCAGCTCTCAAGTTTTCACAAAGAATTCATATCTAAAGAAAAACTGATGAGGCTACTTGTTTCAAATTTTCCTCCGTACGTATAGATACAAATCAATTAAACTCGAGCAAATGGCTCAAACTATGAACAAAACAATTTGCTTCCTAATTCCTATCCTAATAAAAAGTATAGTATTTCCTCTACTAAATGTCTCAAACCAAAAGTATCATATCATCTTCCTGCTTTTTCATGAAAAGTTTTTCAGTCACGAATAACATAATCTATATGCTAATAACAATACACTTAATCCTAGAACGAACAATCGGTTATGTTTCAGTTTGGTTTCAAATTCCAATCATGTTAAGGATTTCAGTAACAAAGGACAAAAAAATACCGATGTAAGATTTCAAAGAATCAATAGCAGATTGAAGTTTTGATGCACAAATGAACATATTATATAAATATAAATAGCATTATCATATGAAATGTATATTAAACAATACAATAGTAGAATCTAAGTAGTTAATTTCACATAAAAGAGCCTACATGCAGACAAAGCCTCTCGCAGTAAAATGTGAAGAATCATACATAATGTGAGGAATTGTATGGTCAAAACCTTAGCACATCCTCTTCCGGTAGATCCCAGATATCTTCATCCTCTTCCTCCTCAGGTGGTGTTGGATCGTCTTGCCAGTAGTTGTTGTACCGTCCTCCTCCCGGAGAGTTCCCATCCATAGGACGCCTGAAAAATATCAAATTAAGAAATTTAAAAACTATATTCACATTAGATATATATATTCTATTAAGCACAGACACCAGAAGCATAACACTGACACAGAGACACCAGAAGCATAACACTGACTGACACTGACACAGAGACACCAGAAGCATAACATTATATAACACTGACGCAGACACGGACACATCGACGCTAATAATAATATTATCTAATGTCAATGTCGGTATCGGACACAATAGATGAAATTTTGGAAAAAAAACATACCTAGGAAACCTGCTCCTACGATTACGCACAGAAGCCTCGCGAATCTTACGTTTCTTCTCATCCTGTTTATTCTCATGATACTGTCTTCTCCTATACTCTTGAAGAATACCAGCGCTTAAAACGTCTTTGCGGAACCTATTCAGAAGTCTATCTTCAGGCTCACCGTCTTCAAGAACAACTTCAACATTGAAGCGGTTTGTTGTGTACAAGGAGGATGAGTTGAAATCGGAGAAATCGGAAGACACGTCTTTTGGTGGGGGTGGTGGTGGCGGTGAAGATGTAATTGAAGGAGAGGCTGTTTCATTGCGGCTGAGAACGAGGGGGATTATCTTGTTGTTGCGGTGGTTGTGGTGGTGAGATGGGAATTGAGAGAGAAGAGGGAGCTGTGGCTTTGTTTGTGGTGAGAGGAAAGAGAAGAAGTTGGAGAAGGAGGTTGAGATAGCCATTGATGTGTCGCTCAAAATGATAAGATTGTGGAACTTTTTCTAGATTTTATTTTATTACATTATAGTAATAAATAAAAATAATATTATTGTTACACTTTATTCTTGGGCTATATAAATTTATGAGACCTTATACTCTAGAATTCAATATTGCACCCGTTGAATTAATCATACATCCTCGCATATTTTTAAAATGTTAATAATGACTTTTATAATTTAAATTTTCAGAATTTTCCAATTATTTTAAAAATTTTACTTTCAAAAGGTCACTTAAAAATAAAAAATTCGATGTACGAATATTTTGGCATTCTCTATAAATATGATGGTCTGAAATCTTGTGTTAAAGTGTCTTAAATAAATGAATTTGAGAGGATGGAGTTCTAAATATTTTACACAATTTTCACCACTAACTTGATATATTTTAGTTTAATATTTTATTTGAGTTTTTGAAAACTTTAATTGAATTATAGAATATATGAGTAGTTTATTTTATATTATAATTTGTAGATATTTTTCGCATGAACGAAAGTGTTATCATGGGTATAATATAATAGAAGACAACAACACGGTATTATTATAGTTATGATTTATTCTGATATAGCAAATGAGAAAAAGGCAAGAGCAACAAACTTATTCTTATTTGCAAGAGGGGGTGAAATTATAAGTGTTCTGAACTGGGTTAGAGGCTAATCCACTGTCAGGCACGACCAAACTCAGCTCTTCGTCGGGGGAGGGTCCAATGAAGGTTCAATCCATCATCTCACACGGAGAATGCTCACGCATCTTTTCCACGGTCTCCACGTGCTCCTCACGCGGGTACACGTCATCAGCCAACTACCTACGTCCGAGAGAACGGGTCATCCACCTTCTGAAGATCACGGGGCAGTTGGACCAGGATGAAGACCACGTGTTGGTTTTCACTACGCCACGTAGATCCTGGTAGTTATTTGTATTGGGACTAATGATCCAGCCCAGTGCAAATGGTCGTTGGTCCAGCGTTGGGAACACATTATAAATACCATTTTTCATTAGAGGGTCAGGTATTCTAATTCTGAACTCACTAGCCTTTTTGTACTTGCTCCCTCTTTAATTTGTTTCTTACTTTGGCATCAGAGTAACTTGCAGGTACACCTCATCCTCTTCACCACCGTCGGCGAACTAGGAGCTCACGACGCGTTGCTGGCTGCTGATCTCTTTCTGGTCCGGTAAGATCAGTGGCGCCATATGTGGGAAAATTTTGCTTACCCGTTCTTTCTTCCTCAGAAATCAAAGAACCAAATCATCTCAACTTCCATTGATCATAGTCAGCCCACGCGTTGACGATAACGTCCGCAAAACTGCCTTCACCACCTTCACCAATGGCGACGACCATGACCCCGACATGGCTGTCTCCGCCGACGAGGGTGACCCCAAGGACGGGCGCACCACCTCTCCCTCCTCCAGCAATGCGGTCAATGTCGCTCAACGATTCGACATTCTGACTGTTTTCCAACCCATTCCTGTGCCGCCCAACGCCGACCCGACTATGGCGACTCTGTTCGCGGCGATCAATTCAGATAAATCTGATGATGTTCCAACAGAATGAACACATTGGGATGCTGGAAAAGAAACGACCATCACGCTCTCCCTCGCGGAGACATAGGCGCCCAACTTCTCGCAGCCCATCCCCGAGAGGGCGAGAAACATGTTCCCTTTCTCCCCTACAGAGACATCAACGAGACAAATCTCGAAGCCCCTCGCCGCAACAACATGAACGTCGCCCACGACTAGAGAGGCCTTAGCCCGTGGCAACCCAGAAGCACGATCGCAGTCCTCCCCAGAAGGAGCGACACTCCCTAATCCACAAGAGGAACAAAGTCGACGGACAGATGGGGAAAACGAAGTGTCGACCGAGGAGCCCTCATCGTCGTGCCAGGAGCTCTTAGTACGACCCTTCCCCGTCGCGATCACCTATCAGAAGCGATGAGGACGACCCCTGCACTCCGTTGTCCAGTGCTATCATGGAGACTCCCTTCCCCACTGGGATGGAGAAACCATTGACTCTAGCGACCTACGATGGAACAACTGACCAGGAGGACCACATCGAGAGCATCGACACAATGCTCAACTACCACAACGTCCGGGGAGCCATAAAATACATGCTCTTCCTAAAGACTCTGAGGAAGGGCGTGATGGTGTGGTACAAGAGCCTCGAACCTAAATCCATCACTTCCTGGAAAGAGCTGAAGAGACAGTTCTCCAAGCACTTCACCACCTCTCGGTGACATCCGAAGACAGAGGCATCCCTAGAGGCTATCATTGAGGGGAAGGACGAATCTCTCTGGGACTATATAGAGAGATTCAATCGAGAAGCTGTCTAAGTATCCATGACGGACAACATGAAGAGATACCTGATCGAGTAAGGACTGCGATCCCACAGTGATTTCGCCAAGGCGGATGGTATCGAAAGGCCCGACACACTAGACAAACTCCTCAAGAAGGACCAGTCCTACATCCAATATGAGGAGAAGGAGGCCGCCAATAGTGCCTGTGACTCGCGGAACCAGAAAAGTGCCAAAGTCTCTAGGCACGAAAAATTTGTCGCTCCCCGACGTGGCGGAGACAAAAGAAGAGAAGACCGGCCTCGCGACTCCCGAGAACATCGGGGGCCAGATGGTCGTTTCACTGGGTATGCGCTACTCCCCACGAGCGCATCTTGGTAGAGTGCATCAACTCGGAGTTCCAAAGAGGTAGGGTCCACTTTCCAAAGTTGAAGCCTCCCAAACCCAACGTCGACAAGTCCAAGTATTATCGGTTGCACAGGAGTCACAGACACGTCATGGAAGATTGCATCCATCTCAAGGATGCCATCGAAATCTTGATCAAGGAAGGGAACTTGAAGCAATACACTAGGAGGAAAGGCTCATCGACAAGAGACCCACGAGGCGAAGAAATTCGAGGAAGTGACGTTGCCCTCCGACGATACCGGGTTGCAGGTCGCTTTGTGTGTCTCCCGGCCAGAGGACTTCTACCTCCCTTATGCGGCTGACACGCAACTATACGCTCGTAGCCCATGGGAGAGTTTTCCCACCGCGATAGTCATATCCGGCGGAGGGTTCAATAAACTCTCAGTGGCATCAGTTAAGAGGACGTTCGGCAAGCTGATCGACAAAAGCTCAAAGCAGAACACCACCCTCGAAAGGTTTAAGAGTAACTAAAACCCGATAACCTTCTACCTCAAAGAGCTACCAGGTAGCGCCCCGAAGTCTATCATCCCCTACTGATAAGGACTCAGATGGTGAACTTCGACGTTCGCCGCATTCTCGTCGACCAAGGGAGCTCAGTGGACATATTGTACGCCCACATGTTAACCACTCTTCATCTCGACGAGATCCATCTAACGTCGGGTGTCAGCTTTAACTTGCAGGGCTTCAACAACACCACCACGAGGCCATGGGGCTACGTGGAGCTACTCATTGCTTTCGGATTCGAAGAGACTTCAAGACAAGTCAAGGTCTGCTTCTTGGTAATATAATGCACCTCGTTGTACCAATGCATTCTAGGAAGGCCGACCCTGGCCGAGCTGACCATAGTTCCTTCCATCGTGCACCTAATAATGAGGTACTACACGACCAAGGGTCGAGTCGTCACCCTTCACAGAGACATCAAAGCAGTAAGAAGATGTTTCGAAGCGGCCACCAAGGGGCTCAACTCAATCAACATCCCGCCAAGAACACCAACAAACTAGCCCGGCCCAAGGAGCACAAACCGCTGCCCCGCATGAACTTCGTCGACCTCGACAGCAGCTTCCCCAGCAAGCAGCAGCAGAGCAAAGCATCAGAAGACGCACCTCCAGAAAATGACAGCAACTGGCAGCCACCCTATCCAGTGTGTCGTATTCCAGATAGAGGCTTTGAGCTCATCAATTTCAGTGACGACCCCGACAAGAGCATGAAGATCGGCACGGGGCTCCCCAACCTGGAGAGGAAGCAGCTGAAGGGCTGCCTCAGGAATAATGCTGACCTGTTCATGTGGATCGCTGCAGAGATGCCCGGGCTTGACCCCGACGTAGCTTTCCACTAGCTCACCCTAGATCGGGCCGCTACGGCTATAGTACAACGTAGGCGTAGGCAGTCCCCCGAGAAAGCGGAGGCTGCTGAAAAAGATGTAAAAGACCTCCTAGAGGAAAATTTTATTTCTGAAGCCCAGTACAAAACCTGGCTATCTAATGTTGTATTAGTGAAAAAATCTAATGGAAAATGGAGAATGTGTGTAGACTATACCAATCTTAACCGAGCATGCCTCAAAGATGCATATCCATTTCCATTGACAAACTGGTCAACAATTCTGCAGGTTTTAAGTTACCGTCGTTCATAGACGCATACTCGAGATACAACCAAATCCCCATGGAGAAGGCCAACAAGCAGTAACGACTTTCATGACCGAGTCATGTAGTTATTACTATAACGTAATACCCTTCGACCTGAAAAATAACGACGCGAATTACTTACGGATGATGAAAAAGGTCTTCCGGGGCGAAATTGGAGACATGCTCGAGGTCTACATGGATGACATGATTGTGAAATCACGAGAAGAGACCGACCACATAGCTCATCTCAGGAAAGACTTCAATACGACAATGAGATGCAGAATAAGATTCAACTCGGAGAAATGTGCCTTCGATGTCCGAGTAAGCAAATTCCTCGACTTCTACTTGACAGAGCAAGAAATCAAGGTGAACCTCGACAAGTGTAGGGATTTCTCTGAGTTCTCAACGCCAAACTCAAAAAAAACAATATAATCCCTAAACGGGATGCCCGCCTCACTGTCTCGCTTCTTGGCCAAGTCTGCCCAACACGCGCTCCCATTTTTCAAGCTTCTGCATAAGGAAGCCACGTTCAAGTGGACCGAGAAGTGCGAGCAAGCTCTTCTCCATAACAAACAAGTCCTCTCACAACCCCTAGTCTTATCCCGACCTGAAGACGGGGAGACTTTATACTTGTAGCTCGTCCTCGTAACTGAGG